GGTGGGCCGGGCTGCGGCTCCGCCATCCGCTCCCTGCCCGGGCTGCGGCTCTGCCGTCTGCTCCCTGTCCCCCTCGGCTGCTCCGCTTTGTGCTCCCCACCCCGCCTGCTGCTCTGCCGTCTGCTCCTGTCTCTGTTGTCTCTCTGCCGGGTGCTCCCAGCCCTGCGCACCCTCCCTGAGCAGCTGCTTTGTTGTCGTCTTCTCCCCGCTCTCTGCTCCCTGCCCCCTCGGCTGCTCTGCCGGGTCCTCCCGGTCCTGGTGCCTCTGGCAGATTTCTAGGGTGGGAAAGGACCCGTCAGATCAAGTCCAGCCCCCTGCTCTGGGCAGGAAAGAGTGCTGGGGTTAAGTAACCCCAGCCATGGGCTTGTCTAATCTTTTAAATGCCTCCAAGGTAGGGGAAAGCACCATCTCCCCTGAAAGCCCATTTCAGATTTTGGCAACCCTCACTGTAAAGAATTTCTTCCTGATGTCCAATCTAAATCTGCTCCCCATCAGTTTATGGCCGTTGTTTCTAGTAACCTTCGGTAAACAGAGTATCCCCTATTTGCTGCTGACTCCCTGATGATTTTGTAGACAGCCACGAGATCCCCTCTCGGCCTTCTCTGGTGGAGCCTGAAGAGATTCAGGTTCCTCGGTCTGTCTTCATAGGATCTTACGTGCAGGCCCTGAACCATATGAGTAGCCCTTCTCTGAACCCTTTCCAGGTTATCCACATCCCTCTTGAAGTGCAGTGTCCAGTGCTCTTCTCCCATTGGCTGCCCTGCTGTGTGCATCCTGCCCTCTCTGCCTGTCCCTCCCCACCGTGCTTCCTGTCCCTTCCCTGATCTGCCACATGCAGGCTGCCTGTGCTGCTAGCATGATGCTTGCCACAGGTTAGCATATAACTATACAAGAGTCTGACGAGCTTGTAGAGGGGCACTTGACTATGTTAGTCTGAATCAGGCTTTAGGTAAGGCAGGTTTCAAACATGAAGGTTAACTGGTTTGGAGAAGCACCAGCTTTCGTAGGCAGCAGCTTCATCAGATGTGAGGAGCATCCATTCCTAATGTCTGATGAAATAGCTTGTCACCTGCAAAAGATTGTGTATCTGAACCAGTTATCCTCCAAGGTGCCAGCCTTCCTTATTCACTGCCCATCCCGTGTATAAATTGTATTGTAGCTTTTATAACCTTGGTGTTTTTGTTAGCTGTTTCAGCAGATGGGCCAAGGAGTTAGTGCATATGCAGAATATGTGCTGTCTTCTTCAGGGTCAGGCTTCAGTTATTGGGGTAGCTTTGTATGAGAGAAGCTAGAAAGTGATTGGCCCTGCTGTATCTGGTTTGTGAATATGTAGATTTCTACTCTAGGCCGCAGATCTAGTGTCTGTCATCATCACCGTTCAAGTTAAGTTTATTAAAGAACAAGAGAAATAACACATTTTGCTATCAAGATAGTGGTCCTCTCCTTGGTCCTCTTTCAGCTTTGTCTTGCAAATGAAAGCCTTATTGTAAATAATGGATCTTTATTGCAAGCTGAAGCTTTGTTCCTGCAGATCCTTATAACAGTTTCATTTTAAATCGGTCATTCACTTGCCCTGTTGAAGTCACGAGGGAATTTTTAGTTTCAGCCCAGTTACCTGCTGTCTGGCTGGAAGGAAAATATTTTGTAGGTGAGAGGTTTAGAATAAACTCTGTTTTTTAACTGTGTGAATCCTGTTCTGTTAAAACAAATGATGTGGAGGCTCCTTATAGGCGTTCTTACTCGTTTTACAAGATGTTTGATCAACTACGTTTCCCTCAATTTATGGTGTACACGAGTTTCTGGAAAACAGCACATAACTCGAATTCGCATAAAGGGACCTGTTTTACAGTGTAACAAATAGGGATACATTCCAAGAGCTCAACTGTACTGACCCCCAGACCCACTTCTACCACTCTTATAAGATAATTTTGGTACTCGCCAACAGCAGACAGTACACACAAGCACAGCTGTGGCTCCAGAAGCACGGGCACCAGCTGCTGGGGTGTTGCGCTGATGGGACTGGACTGGGTCATGCTGCAGGGGCTGGTGGTGTAGCCTGACCCAGGCACCACCACCCAGCTCAGTCCCCCACAATTTTTTCTTCCTCCATCTACGGTGTCACTCCCACAATGCACTGCACAAAGCAGGCCTCCACTACACCGATCGCGTAAAAGTGAATTTATCGTGCATATAATGAACGTTTGGTATAAAAAGGGTTGTTGCATAAGAATGAATTCACACGTACAGAACCCGCATAAAGCGAGGGAAACCTGTACTAGTTCTTTTCCAAATATGAATTTACAATCTTTTTGGAAAAAAGAAAACCCCACAATGTAGGGAACCTAATATATCAAGGCCCTGACCCTAAGAAGCTGCTGGAACATTTTGCCTGTAACATGATTTCCCCTCTGTTTTTTGTGATCTTAGAGTAGGAACAGTTGAATGGAACTATCTCTGGGTAGCATGCTTATTATTCTTTAGAATATGGTCAACCTTTTGGCCCCGTGGGCTGGGTGAGTAGCACGAGGCCAGTCTGCAGGCCAGATCTGTGCAGAGTCATGGCCCTGTGTGGCTAATGCAGAATCATGCTATCCAGTCTGCTGGGCTCCCAATGGGTCTGGAAGCTTGGCAGCAAGCGAGCAGCAATTAAGGCTGCGTGGTTTCCCTGCCACCACAAAGAGTCCTGCAGGCTGGATGACATGACTCTATAGGCCAGATTTGGCCTGCAGGCTAGGGATTGAGCACGGTTTTGTATTGCTGGGGACTTATCTAGGTTTCAGATGCATGGGAGCTGTTGGGCTTTCAGAAGGGAGATGAAATTTTGTGTAGATAAGGACAGATGAGCCAGTGTTAGAAGGAACAATTTTAAATCTGCACATGAGGCCAGTTTTTCCAGTACTGAGCCTTCACAATAGGGGCCAGGCTTTCAACATGCGGTAACTCTGGTTATGGTGCTCCTGGTCAGACTTTTCAAAGAGCCTGGCATCCAGCTTGCTGAACTCTGAAAACATGGCCACTCACTTGGTGCCTAAATGGGGTGAGAGCTGTGCTGTTTTGAAAATATAACCTCTGAAGACTCCGTTTTAACTAGAACAGTCTAGACAACCCTTTCCCAGCTCTTTTACTTCACCAGGAAGAGGGGGTACAGGTCACTCCTGTACTGGTCCATGAGGTGATCATTAGACCTAGAGGGTAGAGTAGGTTTCCCTGGCTTTTCTGGGAGTAAAGAAAAATCAATTAAAAAGTCTTTTAAATTAAAAAAAAATAAAATCACAATTTTCATTTATGAAACGTCAAAAATGTTGGAAATGGTTCATGTTCACCATTATCTAAATTGTGGGTGCTCAGTCTGCAGCTGGTGGATCAAATGTGGCCCATGGAGCCATTGCATCTGGCCTGTAGGGCTCCCCACATGTTCGTAAATTTCGTGGTGGCAGACCAGTGGCTATTAATACAGCTACCCATCCCTGCTGCCAAAGTCCCAACCCCTGTGCAGCGGGTTGGAGCCAGGCCATGCCCCCTTCCTTCTGCCCTCCCTCAGGGTCAGGCTGGGGCCCAGTCATGGCCTGGCCCCACCCCTGCAGGGCTGGGTTTTGCACAGCCATGCCCCGTTTTTTCCATGGGGCTGAGTTAACCCCTCTTTCCCTGTGGGGCCAGGCTGGATGGGTTCACCCCTGTCTGTGTGGCTGGATGGGTGCCTGCTGCACCTGCCCTGGGCAGGCAGGACTACCAGTGAGATCTGACCTGTGGGCAGACCAGGCACTGTCCATTTGCAGTCCACCCCTCCCGGGAAAAAGGCTGAGTACCATTGTTCTCAATTAATAGTTTTCTCTTAATTCAAGAGCATAAGAAAATTGTGGAAGCACCTTGTGTAGTAACCTCTGGAAGTACAGCTTGTATTACTGAGGCCAATAGCTAAGTTAAGCAACACATTGCTAGGGTACTTTATCTTCATTTTTCAGGATATACGCTATTCTCCATCTGGAGTCAGGTAGATGTTTCTCCCCGTTGACACAGTATTTTGTATTACGGGGCATCTGCTACTGAAACTGCTGCTGGAGACAGAACACTGAAGTAGTTGTCTATTTATTTGAAGCCCTGTGATAGATTCTGTGTTTGAGGTCCCTTGATTACTTGGCCACCTTCCTAAATGTAGAATTCTGGGCCTTTTATCTGCATAATCTATGTCAGGAGTGGCCAACCTGTGGCAGAAGTGACTTGGGCAGCCTGTTTGGCACATGACAGATCAGAGAGGTGACAGGCAGCACAGCGGCAGATAGGGCAGAAGGCAGAGCAGGAACTCATGCAGAGAAAGGGGATTGGAATAGCATTTGAGGATGCAGGGCTGATTTGTGGCACGCCTCCCAAAAGTGTTGGCCTCCACTGATCTAAGTAATTTCCCTTAGACCCTCATGGCTGAGAGAAGTTACAGTTATGATCTGATGCATAGCTGTTTTTCTGAGCCTCTAGACATCTTGAACCAATAAATCTGTTATATATGCAAATTGTTCTACTGTAAATGAGTTGACACTGATACCTAACGATGATGCAGTTGTCAACAAGGACTTTCACTGTTGCTTGAATTTACCAGGAAGCTGTGGCTAATATACTTATCCATTGTTCTGGATGGAGGAAGGCACTTGTCTCCTTTCTGTGGGAAGAAGCACAAGATATACTTCCTTCCTGCTGCTAAAAGACTTTCTTTGTACTAGACTCAGAAACTTTTGATCCTGATGTTTACTTAGTGCCTCAAATTCAAGCTTCCTGTGGCTGCCTTCTAAAATCTCTTTTCTTTCCTTAACAACTGGTAGAAAGCTGTTGTGTTCTCCTACTGTTTGAATACTGAAAATGTACAGTGTAAAACAGAACTATTTAAAACCAT